AAAAGGCCTATGATAGTGTAAAGAGAAACAGCTTATGGAATGCTATGAAGGACTTTGAAATACAAACGAAGTTAATTACCATGACTAAACTATGTATGGAAGACACTTGTAATATAGTAATATATAAAGGCAGAAAGTCAGACCCTTTTGAAATAACATATGGTTTAAAGCAAGGGGATGCTCTGTCCCAACTTCTTCTCAACTTGGCTCTGGAGACAATTATAAGGAAACTGAAACAAAAGTGTACTATAGGAGAATCTACAAGAATACTTGGTTATGCAGATGACATTGATATTGTTGGAGAAAATTAACAAGAGACTGTAAAAACACTGACTCTCTTAAAAAGAATCTGCTCAGAAAATGGGAATAGTTTTCAGCCAAGATAAGACAGAATACATAATAATAACTAGACAGGGAAAGGATATAAACACAATCTAGAATACAATCTGGAAATAAAGTATACTATGCCCTTCAACATCTGCTAAAGTCAAAGTGTCTGTCTCGCAACACCAAGATCAAAATATATAAAATGATAAGACCAGTCGTTTTTTATGGCTCTGAAACTTGGGGCACAACTAAAAGAGATGAAGCCTTATTACAGGTTTCGAAAACAGAGTTTTACAACGAATCTTTGGACACATCAAAGCTGCAAACAGCAGGGAATGGAGAGTGAGAAGCCACAATGAAATTCATAATCTGTTTAAATCACCATTGATCACTGGTATCATGAGAGATAATAGACTGAAATTGTTGGGCATATTGAAGGAACGTCAGATGACAGAGAAGAAAAAACTGTATATACAAGGGAGATGAATGGTTGTAGACCATGAATATGACGGAGAGATAAAGTCTAGACAGGCAAACACTTGGTGTCATCAACTGGAAAGAGAAGGCCAACCAGAGAGATGAATGCAGGTGGGTGATATCTGCAGCAATGAACTTCAAGGGCTCGAAATACTGAAGAAGAAGAAGAAGTAGTATATTTATGTACTGCACATACAGTTGATCCGTCTTGCCTACCCACTGTACCTGTGACACCTTATTATGGGATAGAACTAGACAAGTCCAAGTGGACCAAGAGGTGAACAAAAGACCCTGGCACTGGATAGGACACACGTTGAGAAAACCTGAGACAATATAACTAGAATGTCCTTGCACCGGAACCCACAGGGGCATAGAAGTAAAGGTATACTACAAAACATATGGAGAAGGGAGCTAGAAAGTGAAATAAGAAGAAGTGGGAGGACATGGAGTGAGCTGCATGCAATAGCAATGGATAGAACGACTTGGTGTGAGTTGGTTGAGGCCTTTGCTCAACCGATGGATGTAAGGCAGAAGAAGTCATTTAGTTCTCATACTAATGCTTGGATTTTTGAGTAATGGTAAGAGCTGGTAAATATCTGTCTTCTGGTATATTTTGATCTTCCTGTCAAGTTGCCTTTCCTCTACAAAATGATTACCCAAGTGTTTTAGTTTTTGGATCTGTTTCACTTCAAGTTGTTAATAGTCAGTGAAATAGATCATATAAGTAAAAGCGAAGGACCTTTTCCTAGCCTTCAGGATAGGCTATATAGTGACCTTCAAAGTGTCTATCTTTCACATCAATGTTCATGATGTATTTATTTATCATGTCATATAAAGTCTTCTCTTTCTTGAAGAAGCACTACTCATCTGATCCAACAGCTTTATTTCAAATATATTATGTTACCTTTCCTGTGGAGTTAACAAAGCAGGCTGAGTGAGGGATCATGGCACATGCGCACTGGTAGAGGACAGAGAGGGATTATGCCTCATGGGCAATCCATTGTCTCTACAATACTGCTCTGGCTTTTTGTGATGGAGAAATACCTGGCCTTAATTGGTTTTGGATGGGCTGTGATTCCTGATAAGACAATGCAACATTATTATCTAGAAAGATGAAAAAGTGCCAAACAAAATCTTAAAATTATTTGCTGAAGTTACTTTTCTGTATGTGACACATTCTATTTTGCCATTTTTATTCCATAAGGGATATATCTTTATTTTGGGTAAGTTTTCACATTTATCCTCCCATTTCATGCAGCTGTACATAATCTTATAGGTCACATACGACAGACCTCACCACATCTAAAAGCAGTTTAAAAGGTTGATGCATTGTAAAACTATATTAAAAGTAATTGTTAATGTTCATAATTAATTTCTTGATAAAACTGAAACATTTTTCTTTCAAACAGATATAACAGAGAGATAACAATGATACACATTTTGGACTTGTTGCCCCTAATTCCCCAATTGAAACCCTACAGTTACCTAATTTTGGAAACGCATCCCCTGTTTGAGAATTACTTGTTTGAAAATTATATTGTGAAGTCTCATGACGGTAATTGTAATCTTACTAACATCCCTTATCCCAGCTCCTCATCACTCTGAAGTTAGTTCTGTGCAGAAGCCTTTTTTTCAGGAGGTACGCAACAATATGCAGAATAATCATTTATTTTTAAGCAGAATTTCTTTCAGCGCTACTGTAATACCAGTGGAGTAGTGAAGAGTACCAGTACCTTTTTAAACATTTGTTTTGATGAATACCGACAGCTGTTTTTTTTAGAAGAAAAGCCCTGTTTCTGTAACTTTTTGTTTTAATCTACTATTGAGTGATAATGGGGTTTACCACAGTGATATCAGGTTCTTTCTTCTTCTTTGATCCTTCTATCAGAAAAACAGATCAGTAGCCTTGATGAAAGCTATCATGTTGTCCAAATCTCCCAGACATTCTTTCTTCTTCTTTGATCCTTCTATAAAAAAAAAAACAGATCAGAAGCCTTGATGAAAGCTATTGTGTTGTCCAAATCTCTCAGACCTTCTTTCTTCTTCTTTGATCCTTCTATCAGAAAAACAGATCAGTAGCCTTGATGAAAGCTATCAAGTTGTCCAAATCTCCTAGACCTTCTTTCTTCTTCTTTGATCCTTCTATCAGAAAAACAGATCAGTAGCCTTGATGAAAGCTATCAAGTTGTCCAAATCTCCCAAACCTTCTTTCTTCTTCTTTGATCCTTCTATCAGAAAAACAGATCAGTAGCCTTGATGAAAGCTATCATGCAGTCAAAATCTCCTAGACCTTCTTTCTTCTTCTTTGATCCTTATATCAGAAAAACAGATCAGTAGCCTTGATGAAAGCTATCATGTTGTCCAAATCTCCTAGATTTTCTTTCTTCTTCTTTGATCCTTCTGTCAGAAAAACAGATCAGTAGCCTTGATGAAAGCTATCATGTTGTCCAAATCTCCTAGATTTTCTTTCTTCTTCTTTGATCCTTCTGTCAGAAAAACAGATCAGGAGTCCAGTAGCCTTGATGAAAGCTATCATGTTGTCCAAATCTCCTAGACCTTCTTGTTGATACATACTCTTATGCTAAGACCCATCTTTTGCTTTTATGTATGGCTTTTTTTCTATTCCTTCCTTTTTTTAAATTTTGCTTTGAAAACCATGTCATGACCTGATTAAACTTATATTTATATCTTGTTGTTTAGAGTTTAGTGAATGTGTTTAACAGTTTCATGATTCTCGAGAACTAGGGTTTGTTTTTCATGGTGAACAGTTTATTGTTTAAAATTAGTTTTTGCAGTTTTTGGACAGTAGTATGAGTCACACTGTGGGAGAGATTAGGGCCTCACCATGTTCTTCTTCTTCTTCTGCGTTCGACATCCGCCATGCTAAACATTGAGTCCCGTCTGGGTCACAAATAGGATTGTGCGTTTAAGGTCGCCACCGGTCCCCCATAGCTTCTCTTGCAATGTGGCTCCCTTGGGCTGGATTCATAGTCTTTGCTGGAAAAGGTAAGGGCAGTACACCATGTAATATTCCCAAAGACAACAGTGAGTGCATTGTAGCCAACCCTCATTGTGGAGACAGATATCACTGTTTTATTTGAAAGGTAGAAACAAATTATTTGTAAAAAATTTCTTCACCCAGTTCATATTGAAACAAGTGAAGTTTTTACTGATTTTTATAATTATTTTTAACAAAAGAAAAGCATAAATTTATAAAGTTTTTCATGAATACTTCTTTATATGAGATATTGCAACATGTGCATAAACTGCCTTGTATGTTTATGTAAACACCATAAAAGCTAAGCTTATGTAAATGCAGCCAAGTTTGTAAATGGCAAATGACAGTAAAATATCCACTGACAATACCAAAGTCAATTCTTATGTCTTTATTTGTGTTTTGTATTGCTTGTTCTTTGGTAGCCTACATTGTATAGTGCTGACTGGAAGACATATAAAGACGTGTCATAAATACAATTTAATCCATAAACTCTTTTTTGAGTTTAGTGTTTGATAAATGTTAAAGAAGATGCTAATTTTATTTAAGAAATTATTTGATAGACATTAGTGATTTAGGAAGGATACACGTATCCGTCCTTTCAAGGACGAAAGTTTTCGTCATTTGAAGCCCTACTCTGGCTTCTGCCATGGGCCGCAATATAGGCAGGCCATATATATGGCCAAATGTCTGAACGCGGTTTCTGGGACCTCTCCACTGCGATCCTCATCCACATGGTGGCACTTTGTATCATCGGGTGTTTATCGCTTGTGTGATGTCCTGGTGGGGTAGAAAGTCAGTCAGTCAGTCAGCCTTCTGCTTTTTTTTAAGGAGGTGGGGGGGGCATTTAATTGTTAGCGTTGAGCTATAATGTAAAATGTAAATGGTTTTGTTTTGAGACAAATTATAAGGGATGGTTGGATTTTACTGCACCATTGAGGCCCAAACGAGCGGTTATAAATTCCATCACAGCCGCTAAAAGCTGCTTGTAACATATTAAGGGGACAGTACTAATTAGGTAGGATGTGTTTCGCGGAAAATAGTCTCCCTTTTGTATACAAATGGCTGTCAGTTTTCAGTACCTGTTTTCGATAGGTGGATAGGTTTATAAGTAACGACTGTGTTGCATACGCTTTCTTGGATTTTACTCATATAATATCGAATTAAGAATATTTAACCACATAGTCTGCGTTTTCATATCATGGAAGGAGCTTTGAATTCATCGTATTTTAATCGTTTACAAACTTTCTTAGTCTTTCCTTTACCGAACGACGAGTCCTCAGCTTCGCCTTTGAAATTGGCAGAAGCCGGGTTTGTTCGTCCGGAGAAACCCGTTTCAGATGAAGTTGAATGTCGGTATTGCGGAGCGAAGTACAGTGGCTGGTCCAAAGAGTCACCACTTGCTGTACATCGTGCCCTTAATCCATTTTGTCCCTTTCTCAATACTCACCCTGGCGACCGCAATGAAAATTCATGTATCACGGAGGAAGGAAGTCACAAGAATGAATTAGAGAAAGTCACAAAACTGCCGTTCCCATCATTTGAAAGCCCGTCTGCAAGCATTTTCAAAGTTCGTACCGTCGAACTTCCATTTACCCCAACAAGAGGAGGTTATTTGATGTTGTTTGAAAGCTTCCGGCTATTGACATATACAGATCCATTTTCAAAAGAAGCAGCAGTATACTCGGAAGCAGGTTTTATTTACAGCAGTGTGTCAAAAAGCGTGTTTTGCATTTTCTGTGATGGTGAACTGGATTTTAAGCCAATAAGTATGTGCTTCTTGGAAGACATTCATTGGCAGAAGTTTCCTCATTGCCCCCTGGTCAATGGTTTTGATTTTGGGAATGTGTCCCTGGATGCTGAAAGAAAGATCAAGGAGAAGGTTCGAACACAACATATGTGCAGTGTTGGCAACAAATTCAATGACAAGTATTTAGTCAAACACCCTGAATTTGAGGATGAAGCTGTTCGTATTGGAACATTCTCAACGTGGCCGAGAATGTTGACTTCTGAGTTTCCTGCTGACAAAATGGCCAGCTGTGGATTTTATTATACAGGTGAAGTAGCATTATTTTTTACTGGATATAAATACAAATGTTTACACATTATAAATAAGTACATGACATTCATTTAAAAAAGAAGGACAGCTTCAATTTTATTCAGTTTAATTGTTTGAGAAACTAAGTAAGCAAAAGTGTTCACTATCTTATTTGCCACTTTTAGGGTAGTGTAGGACAGAGTGGTTGTGAGCTGGAGGATTTCAGACCGCTTGAGTTGGAGACTTTAGTGAATTTTTCAAAATCATTCTACTTAAACCAACGCAACTGGATACATATTACCAGTGTCTTTCCAAGGGTACCTCATCTTTGTCTGTATGTGACTCACATTGTGAGTTCTTAGCCAAGATATCCAGGGTTTTTGTGAAGATACAGTGTAAGGAAGGAAAAACAACAACAGCAGTTGAAACTTGCAACTTACTGAGCTGTGTTTAAAACTGGTGTGGTTTATTAAATATTAGACAAACTTTCCCCAAAGTTGGGTTGTACAGTTGCCACAAACTGTGCAGGCTACGATGGTTTTTTTGTGTGGCTTCTGACAGAAGAAATCTCTGTCCCTTACTGAGGTTTGAACCCATGTGTCCTTTATAAGAGCCCAGCACTGTAATCATTTGGCCAGGAACATCTGTTTTTAAAAGTTTATATATATGTGTGTGTGTATATAAAAAAAATCTTTCCTAAAGTAATTAGTTACTTTTTGTGTAAGTAATATTTTTGATGACACTATATTAGGCATACCCAGTTTTTTAAACTGAAAAGGGTTAATTTTAATAAATTAAAAATGGCTTAATAATTCGTAATTTGTTTTTTCTCCCTTGAAGAATACAGTATACCTAATTTATACTAGATTATACTTGCATTTTACTTAAGATGTGATTTTTAAAGTTCAAAATAATGACATTTTAGAAATGGTTAAAATGTCATGTTTATTGTCGATAGAACTAGATAGACAAGCATTAATTCTTCTTCTCTAGTCTTATTTATCTTTCAGTGTAAGGTTTTAAAGAGTCATAGGGTGCGATGCCTTGGTTTATGCTACATAGATCCTGGTAGTTGTGACATTGGTAGTCTATCTGTCCATGATTTGCACGGGCGACCTGTTGCTCTACTGAGTCTGCATTCATTGTGTCCTGTTGATAGGGTTTTCTGTGGTGTACAATCTTCTGAGTCTTGACACATGTCAGAACCAATAAGCATTGATTGAATAGAAATATCAGAGACACTGAAAAATACTTTATACGAAGTGAACAGAAAGGCCCGTTCCAGAGATTTTTTCCTGCCCTGATGCCGCGAGGCAATCCAGGAGTAGAGGAAAGAAGAAGAAATAAGTTGTGATGTTACTTACACATGTCATTGTATGTGCAATCTGAAAATATAAAGGTAATAAAAGAACTTACAGATACCACTATTTTTTCTTCTTTTACTCCTGGAATGCCTCACAGCATCAGGGCAGGAAGAGATCTCTAGAAGAGGCCTTTCTCTTCACTTTGTACCTAGTACTTTTCAGTATCTCTGATATTTCCGAGGTCCATATTCTGTGTGGTTGACCTCTGGCTCTCTTACTTCTATATATGTATAACACTGCTGTCTGTGGTGCCCTCTTTGAGGCCAATCTTGTAACATGGCCAGACCATTTGATCTGTTGTCTACCAGTAAAGTTCAGTATGTGAAATTATTACAATTTCAGACTGGCTTGTCCCTCTCAGCCTTCTCCTACTTTCCCCATCTCAGATAAGCCAAATATCTGTTGAATGATTCACATCTCAGTTTTGAGCTATAAAATAATTTTTGTTGTTTCCTTAAAGTGTGTCACTTGAGTTAGTTACCACAGAAAGACAGGATTTAAAAAAAACTGACTACCAGGTCAACCCAGCCTAAAACTGTCTATTGGTCTAAAAATACGAATCTGACATCAAATGCTCAATGTGCCAGTGATGTAGAAAAGGGTCCTTTACTTTAACAATTTATTTAAAATTACAGTAAGACACACACACACACATGCACGCACACACATACACAAATTTACATATTTAGGGAGCAGTTCTTCTTCTCAGAAGATTGTTTTGGTTCACGTTGGAAGATAAAATCCGCAATTCTAGATTACAACAAATGACAGACATAGAAGATGTACATTTAGAAAAAAAATCAAAAACAAAGATAGAGGTGGATTGGACACGTCCTCAGAATGAAGAAAGATAGATGGCAGAAACAGGCAATGAAATGGACACAACAAGGATAGGGAGAAAGAGGCAGGCCCAGAGACACTTGGAAATGAACCTTTGAGGCTGACCTCAAGGCCCACGAAGCACAAAACTGGAGATGAGAGGATGGCTTCAATTGAGTGGCGACAGTTTGTCTCTGCCTTATGCGGCTATGGGCGTGATGAGGATTGATTGATTGATAAAGGGACATCCTCGCCAGCGCATTTAAATAAAGGGAAATTGTGTATGGAAGTCACATTTTATATATATTTACGTCTAAACTATAAATCACAAACCCTTTCTGTAGTTTGTGTGATTATTATAAGTGAAGTGTTAAATCTCCCATTCTGTGTCCATTACATGGATACAATTTTCATCTACCATTTTGACAGCAATGTTTAATTAAACAATCACATTGGTGGCCCACATTGTTGTGCATTTCTTTATTTATTGTGAAAATCAATAAAAGCACACTTTTGCTGGAGTTATATGCCTTGAAATATTTTTTCTCTTCCTATTACTTTCCTGGAACAATTAATTTAAAATTTTGCTGTTTTCTTTCTTGGATCCCCATACCTGTATGTGTCTGAGACAATACATTGTCTGTCTCTAAAATTGTTTAATACTGGTGTTTGTCGCCTCGGATGCACTTAGGGGCAATGACTATCTCAGTGTTGGAGACAAAGATTAAGCAGAAGACAGAATATTAAATATAGGGTTCTATATATATATGTATAAATATATATATATATGAAAGGAGCCACCATGGTGTAAAGGCTAGACGTTTACATGCAGATCTAAAGGTCGTGAGTTAGAATTCGAACAGCCTGCCTTTTTTTTCTTTCTTAAATGACTTTTGGCTCCCTTGGTGACCCAGCCTTGAGTGGAAACCAGGCAAAGTCCTGGGAAGTGAAGGCGGCTGGAATGAGGCTGACCACATCACGCACTGAATGCTGAAGTCTAGCCCTGTGTGCCCAAAACGCCTGAAGGTGTGGAAACGTTTTTTAAAAAAAATATATGACAGTTTGTACTTATTTACAATGTAAGCCACACAGTTTTGAATATAGATTTGAAACACAAAAGTTGATTATTTTCGTGGCACATCTATGCATATAAGTAATTTGAGGTATTGTAATGCAGGTTTCAATGACAAGGTAAAATGCTTTGCATGTGGCGTGGGTCTTTACAACTGGCCGTCTAGGGCAGTCCCAAAAGAGCAGCATATGAAAGCTTCACCGCATTGTGTGTTATTATTGGAGTGTCTGGACAGAGAATTCATTAAAGCCCAAAATGTTGAGGTGAGTTGTTCCATGTCTCGTATGTTTTCTACGGTTAGTTGTTCAGATTTTTAGCACTTTCTGGTGAAAGAACTGGTGTCTTTGAAGCAATGTGGATGTTTTAAAAGTTTCTTTCCTCGCCTGGGTTCCAGGGCCCCAATGGGGGTGTGGGAGGGTATTGGAATGGGAGAACAGACCCACTAGATTTTATTCCGTCTGGCTCGGTATCTATTTGCTGAGTAGTTGGCCTAGCACCTGGAGCTTTGCAGTAAAGCACAAATTCCAATGATGACACCCCACCCCCTTCTCTCCATAGGTCTCTGGAAAAAAATTGTACTTATGAAAAATACGGCAAAAAATAAACCCACCCTCAAAAGAGGAGGAAAATAGCTTGACCATTTCACCACAGAGTTAGGATTTGTGGTAGTATAACAGTTAGCTGCCAGTTCCTCAGTCTTGGATCCAGTGCTCAGTGAAATGTTTTCTGGCTGTTACAGCTCTGAAGTAAACTCACCTTATAAAGTGTAGAGTATAAATTCCTCTCAACACAGTAAGGCTTTATTTGGAAAGCACTAATTACATGTACATTTTTTTCATGTAAATTCACTTGCAGAGAGATTTTTTATGAAAATAAACATGAAGGGTAAAAATAAATGATAACAAATTCATATGGAAAAGCAGTGATAAACTGACAGCTTTTCTACAGTGTCAGAAAAAATTCTGAAGATGTATAAAACTTTAAGCCAGCTTATGATTACATGACCTCAGATGGAAGCCTGATAAAGAATGTCAGTGCCTTATGCATTGTCAAGATAGAAGACAGTATTACTAACTTTCTATGGGAACAATCAGTACAGGTACTTTGGAGTGGCTGCTGCATTCAAGGACTTAGCACACATGAGAATGCCTAATGTGCAATGATAACATAATATGACATGTGATAACGTAATATAACATGACATGTTAAGGGCATTGAAATTTGCCTGTCGTTTCTTTAAATGCCATTCTGACTAAAACATGTTGTTCTTTCTTTTTAAGATGCCATTCTGTTGAGGTACTTTACTATATTGTCCTTATACTCCGATGAGTGTTGCCATTGGTAGCAGACATTTGGACCTTCTGGGCTAAAGTGCTAGGAACATCTGTACATTTGTTGTCATACCGTAGAACACTCAATGGGCAGACATTTGAGTCTAAGAAGCCATGCAGTCCTGGTCAACAGATGCTTGAACCAAGGTTTGCCATATAGTAGGACTTTCAGATGTCAGATATTTGAACCCAAGTTTATCTTTTAGTAGACTACTCGGCCAGGGTACATAAAATATGTTCTAAAGGAATCTTTTTGTGTATGTTATCAACCATACACAAAGGATGGGCTGATATGATTGACAGAGGATTTCTGGGCACGGCACTTCTGGGAGCCACCATCTCCGAGATCCCCTGCCAGCTCAGCTTAGGCCAATCTACAGCAAAGATGTCATGCATGAGGGTCCCTATAACCAGCACAGAGCCTGCTGATGCCCAAGATATTGTACGGAATATCTCCTTATACACGTCACAACTGCTTTCACTTTCCCTCATGGCTGTTACTAAAATCACTGCACGACAAATAGTTTTTAGGTGCATGGCATTTGTGTCTAAACAAAAAAGTGCAGAGACTCACCACAAAGTGTCTATTACAGTAGCCCTGAATAAAATGATGCCCAAAAGGCTCCTCGTTTGGCATACTTTTGTGTATCAACAGGTCAAAAAAAGCCTGTGTAAAAGTGTTTTCACAACAGTATTTTGTTGTATTTCAGTTGCTTGTTGAAGTTGATGACAAAGAAACTATCTCAGGATCACAAGGTAGGATACAGTATCTTTATGTCGTACAAAGTGCATGTGTTCAATTAAATATGTTTGATCTGTAAGAACCGAGTAGAGCAGTTGCTAGATATTTGTCTATCGGCCCGAAAATCTGAATTCAAATCATGACAATGGCAGATTTGTAAAAAATAAATGCCCAAGGCTCCTTCTAGATTGACCCAGCCTGTAATGGGTATCAGGAAATAACCTGGGAAGTAAAGATGAATGCCGGTTGATCTATAAAAACTATGGATCTATCACCATATGACCATTATTGCATTAATATCAGGCTTTCTTGCCATGTGTTTTATCTATAGCTTTCTTTTTTTCTCCATGCCTGTGATTGCTGGAATTTGTTTTTTCAACATGAGTAACATTAGTGATTCTGTGATACTTTTTAATTTGTTTTATAATGCACGGACAATGTTAACTAATGGTTGTAGAATATTAGTAATTGTTTTGGTCGTTCTCTTAATTTCTACTCCACACATTGACATTGTTAAGAGTTTAATATAAGTTTATTACTAAGCCTAATTATTATATGACGTCTTAAATTGAAATTCCCCATGTGGGTTGCGAGACCCCATTTTTGGATGGAAAAAAAAATAGAATCACTGTCCTCCCAACAAGCACATGGTAAAAGACAACTGATTAAGGATTTGTTGAAAACAGATTGTATTGGGTCAGAAGGTGAAGATATTGCAACCTTGCCTTAAACCACTTGCCAGCTGCTTTTTTTTTTTTTTTTTAGGGTGAACCCAGCAGAAGAATAAGTATGAAAGCAGAGTAATATGTTGAGTAATGTATTTAAAATAACAATTTATTTTTATATTCTTCATTTTGCAGAAGAACAAGAAACAGCATTGTTGGTCACAGATTGCATTTCATCATTACAACCATCAGTAAAGGGGAACTGTTCATTCCCTTCATATAAATCCTGCTGTTCATCGCCATTTGCACCAGGATCTCCACTTCTAGATCTGGAAACCATCAAGGCAGCCTTGGCATGTCAGTACACACTTGAGCAAATAACCCATGCCATCACGAAATTCTTTATTTCATCTTGTGAGTCTTACTGTCTATCAAGGAATAGAATGTGTGAAGTTTATACTGTTAATTTTTGTTATAAACATCAAATACACCTGCAGCATATGTTAGAGCTGAAAACCACACTTTTAGCATTTAGGGCAGCTTCTGTAGTTTTAAATTAAAGAACAACGGGTAGCATTACCTGTGTAGTTGTTTTTAGTAAAGGCTGTTTTGAACATTTTACTTTAATCATCATCCTCGTCATTTGCCATGCATGGGGGGGGGGGGGGGGGGGGGGGGGGGATGGGGGGGGGGGGGGGGGGGGGGATCATGATTCAGAATCTCACACAATCAGGTCATTGTTCTTAATCTGATCATGCCATCTGGCCAAGCCATTAAGATATTTGTGTCTCTTTGACTTCCTGTGGTTCATTTCCTCATAAAGTTTGCTAATTGTCATTAGTTTTCAAGTTTCTTCTAAACCACGCCTCCCCCATTCCACGCACAAAAATAAATATAAAAATAATGACAGTCTGAAACTAGTGTTGATGATGAATTTGTGGTGTTCATCAGTTCTTTGAAGAATATCTTTATTTATTTGTATGTTTGATCATCATATTCTTTGTGTTTTTCATAGACATAACTCTTATGATAAAATCAAGTGTATTGTCTCCTAATTCTCCTGTTTCACATGCATACAACAGTATGACGAGCCATGGTAGCATGGTAGCTAGACGCTCGCCTACCAGCCCGAAGGTCTAGGGTTCAAATCAGTGTCGAGGCTAATTTTTTTCTGTTTTCAGAAGGTGCTTTTTTTTTTTAATAGGTCAGCTCAGCCTACAGTGGGCACCAGGTAATTTCCTGGGAGTTAAAGGTGACTGGTGCCTTTTTGACAGTCTCACACACCAAGTACTATTTGATGTATAAAAATATAGGTTCACCGCTATATGCTGAATACACCAAAGGCAGAACAATAGCTTGCAACTGAATTCATTTGACTTTGATTGGTACATACGAATGATATCCAGTCATGCTTGGCACACAAACAGTACTCTCAGTAAATATGCATTATTTGTTGTAACTTCTCCACCTACAAACCAGCATTGTTTTCCTTCTGTTTTTGGTTATAATTTCTCTCAGATCCATAATCATTCTTAGCAAAATCTTTGTAAATCAGCTCATTATGTTATTAATTGTTCAATCTTTATTAGAAATTAGAGGCACAATCTGGAAAGAAAATGAAAATGTACTTAGAAGTGTAATAATTTTGAAGTTGAAGCATTTTAGCTGTAGCTGACAAAACTCATAAACTTACTGTTTCCCAAGATCTCAAACCTAATAAGCACCAAGAGTTTCCATATCTACTGTCCCAGACATGTCAATGATGTAGACCTTCTGTATTGAATCAAAGATATTGCAGTATACCAGAACATGAAAAAGCTTACAAATTAATCAAAGAAAGTACGTACTGGAACCCAACAACTGTGCACTCCACTTATAAATTAACAATATAAAAATATAGTATAAACACACAGAAAACCACCTGCTCAACCCCAGGATTAAAATAATGAGTGGTGGTTTTGTTATGCAAGATATACAAAGATGCTCAACACTCATCTGCCTTAAACATTTCTTAAAATGCCAAACTTGTCAATCAGGCCTCATCTCTGTTGACAGATGCGCAAGTCACTATCATCAAACTGAGTAGGTAAGTAAAAGTAAAGGTCCCTTTTCTACGCCTTTAGGCGTATAGGGCATGTAGGGCTAGACCTATATTTTTATAGACCAATTTGCATAAGATGGGTGATGTGGTCAGTATCACGTCGGCCGCCTTTACTTCTCGGTACTGCACCCGATACCCACTGGGTCGACCTGGGTGTCAAAGTCATTTTGGAAAAAAGTCCCGCTCAGCCAGGGAGCGGACCCACAACCTTCCGATCCGCACACAAACGTTTAGCCGCTACGCCACGGTGACTCCCAAACTCAGAAGGTAACAGGCTAAAAAAAGCTACAGGTACTGGCAGCTCAAGATAGGTTCTGTAGCTATGTTGTGTACTGTACACAGGCACCCGAGACAAACTACAACATTGTACCAAGAATACTCAGAGAGATCTATTCTGTGGCAAGATGAAACAAGTCTTTATTGTGCCAAAATATTTTCTGAAATAATTTTATCAATATCTTTATCACTTGTCTTAGCTGCTTGTAATCTTCCATACTTAATTTTCAAAACACAACACTTTGCCTCTCCTCCAGTGTAACATTTATTACTATGTAAGATCCTTATTGCAGTGAATTAAAGCAATTTTTAATTCTTTCAGTAATTAACACTCCACCATATGTGACAGGCTGTTACTCATATATACTGATTAGTATGTTGTGTTACAATATTGCTTTCCACATCACAGACTGGTAGAGAAAATTTAATAACCTCAACCCAAAGAAATAGTGAAAATAACAACTTATGTTTCAAAATAGCACAAACAAAATGCATACAAATAAAACTACCTTGGAGAATGAAATATATGTTAATGAGGCAAGATTGGAGGTTGTGGAAAATTTTGAATAACTTGGGTCATTGATTACCAACAATGGTATCACAATGAAAGAAATTAAACAACGACTCTCAGTTGCTCTTCAAAGGCTAAAACAACTGAATAAATTATGGAGTGGAACAGACAGAACTAGAAAAATTAGATTTCTAAGAGCATGCATCTTTCCCATTGCAACATATCTGTGAGACCTGGACACTTACTAAGCAAGCTGAACAGCTCATAAATACATTTGAATACACATTTTATAGACAGGTTCTAAGAATATCATAGTGCATCCATACTTTAAGAACTAAATATTTAAGAAGGTTGGCTATTAAAGATGATAAAACACAGAAAAATGAAATATTTTGGTCACTTGAAATGTCAAAAAATTTGGAGAGAACAATAATTTTAGTTGGGTCAACCCGGAAGCCATGGTAATTTCTGGAAAAAAGTCTGGCTCCATCAGGACCTGAACCAACAGTCTTCAGATCCACAGGCGAGCATATGTATCTTTGCAGATTGTACATTTTATACCCACAAAGAAAAAAAATTCTTCTTCTGCCAGTAGTTACCATTTTAGGGCAGTATAGGACAGGGTAGTCTCGGGCCTACAGATTTAAGGCCACATGGCTGGTGCAGTTGCCATGAACTGGGCAGGTTATAATTTTTCATTTTGCACCCTACAGAAAAATAATCTCCATTCCTCAACCAAGAGCACACCCGGGTCTCCCACATGAAAGCCCGCTGCTAACAACTCTGCTCTTCATTTAGTCAGGGCCTAGAAAACACTGGGAATGTATTTGTTTTCTACAATGAGTGTGTATTTGGTCCTCGTGGAAATGGAACGCCTATGATTTTGTTTTCACTGCTGCTTCATGCTATAATCTTCTCACACTGAAAGTTTCAAAAAAGTAAAAAATAACAGTTCTGTTGAGAAAAACTATCCTTTAATAATTGTATTTGTTTGTTTGTGTCTTATTAACAATCAGGTGGCCGCTATCCTAATCAAGATCTCTTGATAGGAACCCTAAAGGCAGCTGATGAGAACTTTATGAAACTTTGTGACATGAGCCAGGAGATCATCAATACCAAGGCAGAGCTGAAAGTAACAAAAGCTGAAAAGGCTGTCTTTGAAGCTGAAAAGATGTTATTTCAGGCCAAAGAGGCTCAGTTTCAAATAAAAGAAGCTCAGTTTGAAGCTGAAAAGGCAGCATACCGGCGGGAAATTCAAGCCAGAAATAGAGAACTCCAGAGAGACATGGTGAGGACTGTGCTTACACATCTGTATTTGCTTTTTTAGGTGCTTTTATATTTAAAAAAAAGTTAGTTGCGCATCCCCTACAGGACATTACAGATCTAACCCCAGCATTTTTGTGTCTGTTGTGGTTTTTCTAAGCAAATTTACATTCAGTAGTTTGATATTGCTTTTTGGATTGTTAGCTCTCGCTACCAATGTCAAAACCAACACAAGACAAATCGTCTGTAGCTGGGATCGAACCCATCACTAAAGCGCGTTCGCAACGCCTAAGACACAGACGAAATTGTAATTGTATCAGACTCCATGAATATGCTTCAGAAAATAGCAACAGGCGGTATGCGCTCTGAATGGGTAGAAAGCATTCAAAAATCGCACTTAACCTCCCTCACCTGGATCTACACACCTCATGCGGGTGTAAAGGGAAATGAGTGAGCAGACCAACTAGCAAGCATTGTACTAAGGCATGTGGGAAGAAGCATGGACAGAGCAGATATTGTCAACGTTGTAGGGACTGGGCAAGTGGATAATGAAGAATCCCTGACACTAACACGATTGCATGACATGGGAGTAAAGCATGGTGAAGCACATGAGGCCGAGATAGGAGTTTCTCATGAGAACAATTAGTAGAAATACTTTATAATGGCTGTGGCATCGGAGGACTGAGCACGCATGAAAATGCCCAATGTGCAATGACATCAATTGTGATAACATAACCTAATACAGATAAAAACCTTTATATAAAAAGTATGTGAAGATCTCTTTTCACACCTTTTAGGCACACTGGGTATGTGGGAAGAACACCCTTATTTTTACAGACCAATCGGCATTAGGTGGGTAATTTGGTCAGCATTACGCCAGCTGTCTTTACTTCCACATACTGGTACCCATTTTAGTCTGGTATGACCTGCGACGACCCATACCACGATAAAAATCCACGCAGCCAGCAGTGGGTTTCAATTGTCGTTTGTTAGAATTACAAGTCGGATTTATATGCACACACTATAAAGTTAGAAAAATCCTGTTTCATTTTATAAAGAATAACCTTCATTGCACACAAATGTCTGTCCCCAAGTGCTGCTGTCTTCTACATAGTTCACGAAAAAGAAACTCTCAGCAGCGTGTGAATCCTGTAACACTGATACAGAAACAGATATCTGTATGCCAGACAGACAGACAGACACACACACAAACATAAAGAGAGACACACACACATGCACTCTCACTTAGTCTCTCAACTACTCTCTCACTTACACTCTGTCTCTCTTCATGACAAGTTTTGTCGATATGTGTGTGTGTGTGTGTGTGTGTGACATTTTTGAAACTGTTTACCTGTTCAGCATGCTCATTTTGATTTACAGCTGCAGATGGGTTTTTAAAAAGTTAAAGTGCACCTCAATATTAGAGGATGTAGAGTTGAGTTGAATTGACATCACAGCACTCGGAGCATTCCTATGCATGCTCCGTCCTCATCTTCAGCAGCTAGTCCAGAGTTCTATTACTGATGGTACTGGTCACAATCTGGTTAAATGTCCATCTTGCCTTTCCTCTGAGTGTAGTGAGCCGGCCAGACCCTCTGGTTTCATCCAGGTGACTCATTCTCTCCAGGCCATAATAATCTTCTTTCCCTACTGATTCCGTTGCTCGTCCCCAAAGGGCCTTGAACACATCTGCCTTGTCATGTATCAATTCACCACCCTGTTATGCGGATAGAGGATGTAGACTGTCCCATTACAATTATGTAAACAGTTCAAACAGTCAACATTGTCAATTGAGCCATGTCACCAAGAGTGAGAGGCAAATATTATCTCTTAGCAATCCTGCTTCCAGATCAAAAACACAAAGAAAACAAGGGGGGAAGGCCTCTGGGGTCTGAGCCTGGTTAAATGTGCAGTAATTATAATAATTATCATTATGTGCTGAAAGCAAACAATAATAATAATATATTTGGAATAATTTTATTGTATAAACAAATACTTACTTAAAAACAACACTTCTGTACATGGGATGGGGGGGGGGGGGGAGGGGGTGGTAAAAAATTAAAATATAAGCAGTACCAGCTTCATTAAACTATCAGCTGGAAGACGGAATTGTAGAATCATTATTACCAATGTCTGTTTCAGATTGGGCACTTAATGTATAAGAAGATATTTTCTCCATTGGTTGACAGTGATGCATACAAAAGTGATTTTGACTTTGTATGGACATAAAAAAATACAGTGCTAACTCTTGGTAGTTCTACCGGTCTTTTGCAAATTTTTAAATTTTAACATGTTTTTTTCCACTGGCTTTTCAATCAAACTTTCTGTAATTTTTATGTAAGTCTGTCTGTGATTGTTGTTCATCCTTTTGCGTTAATTAGATTTTAAAACACTGTATCTTCTACAGATCGTACAGCAGTATAGAGAGGTCTCTGAACGAAAAGATCAAATCATAAAGGAAAGAGAACGTGTGATAGAACAAAGAGATCAGCTGTTAGAACAAAACTGTTATGAGCTTGAAATGAAAACAAAAGAAGTGGAAGATCTTCATAGACATATTAGATCACTTCAGGCAGCACTTGAAAGGCAAAATAGATGTGAAAAACAAGGTGAGCTAATACACTCTACAGTGAATTCTTCCATGATTTAGTGTTGATAGAACTGAGTTAGGAAGGACCCTTTTCCACACCTTCGGGCATATTGAGTTATACCTAAATTTTATAGATCTCTGCACTCAGAGGGTGATGTGGTCAAAGTTATGCTGGCCACCTTTACTTCCCAGGGCTTTACCTGATACCCTTTTAAGGTAGTGAAGATAATTTTTTGAAAAGGTCAGGTTACGTCCTTCGGATCCGCAGGCGAGCATCTAGCTGCTACACCATGGTAGCTCCCGAAGTACTGCTTGCTTGCAGTTGATCACCTCCAGGATTGCAGGATTCACACCTCAAAGATGAGAATCCTAGTTACACAAATACCGGTAAGCTCCGTTAAACCATTATGGCTCCCTGATGATTGCAAAGTAACCTGAAGTCTGGACCGGGCAGGGAACAGATGTAGAGTAATGATAATGTAATAGGTAGTATGCCATGTCATGACTATGCCAAACATAGATTTCATTCTTACTGCACACAGTAGTAAATATAAGGCAAAACAATTAATCTGCAGACTATTGGTTCATTGCCTCTCAAGCAGATGCAGTCTTACTTCAAAGCAAACCCCTAACTAGTTAACTCTTATGACATGCTTGTTAGGGAGGCAGGGGTCTCTTCTCCACAACACAATGGTGCCTGTAACCCAAACAGAGAGAGAGAGAAGTTAATGGCTCTGCAGGCCTCCGTAAAAAATATGCAGTGTATTTTAGGATTACCATGACATTATTAAAGGTACATTTCTGTGTTTGTTATTAAACAAAAGTAGACTAATGTCAGGATTGGCTTTGTTTACTTTGTGGTTATAAATTGACCTGCCTAGCTGAGCGAGATTTCAAGTGAGAAAAAGATCCTTGACTCAGAAACGCTGCAGTAAAGAGTCAGAACAACCAGCTCACCAGCTCACTGACTCATGTTTGGTCATTAGCTTAGAGGTTAGAGGTTTCTCAGGTCAAAATCCAGTATTTGCCCAGCTTTGTAAAATTTGTTTAAGAATATTTATAGAATGCAAGCCTTTTATAAAGAAGTGGAAAAATAGGGAATGCATCAGCATTAATTTTCAAAGAGCAAGTTCAATGGCAGTCACAAAACTGTATGGTGGAGTGTTAAGTCAAAATAACTTAAATGTGTCTTCAGGCTAAATACAGCATGATATGACAAGTGCTCCATGCATACACCATCTGATAATTTAATAAACACATGCAACATTCACCAGTGATCTAGCCAAATTGCAATGCCACCTGGTGAGCAGACAAGTAGCCTGCCAGTTTGTTTAGCTAGTGAGAGGTGCATGGTTACGTATGCAGCATGGAGCAAAGAGCAGATGTGAAATAAATTATGTTTTTTACTTGGAAAAAGTGCTGTTGAGAAAGTTTAATAGATGACAATAGTTTATAGCTATGTGTTTATTTATGTTGTATTCATGATTCAAACGAATTCACGATTCAAATGTATTCCCGATTTCTTGTTTGAATGACATACTTTGCTTCAGAGATTACATTTTTGTCTTGGCCATAATTCTTCTTCTTTTTCTTGTGATAATTCTTTGATTTACACCGACAGACAAGTTCTTATGATAAAATTGACTGTTGTTTTGGAGTTCCCTTTTAGTTCTACCTATTTTTCTCAGCATATGTTTTTAGATTTAACTGTCATTCCATATCTTAAAGGTTGTCCAATTTTTACTGGCATGTGTTAAAACTGAAATAATATTAGAATTGAAAATATGTAACTTGGTTTTATATACATCACTCTGTGTGTATATATATATATATATATATATATATATATATATATTAGGGCCGAATATGAATAGCTGGACCAACTATTCGGCCGAATACGAATACGAATAGTGAATCATCATCATCATTTGCTTTGCCGGCTGGCATGGGCGATTATGCCTCGCCACAATCTGCGATCTCCTGCAGCACGTATTAGTTCGTGTGCTGACTGCTGACACACCTCCATGAAAAACCTTTGTTCCATGTTGTCAGCATTAGGCCAGCTTTTTGTCTCACTGAAGGTATTTCCAGCTGTATCAAACAGGAAAATACGACAAATACAGAGAGTCAAAATGAAAACCCGCAAGGCAAAACATCAAAAACAAAAATAACACCGACGAAGAAAACAATGCCGTCCTTACAAGTCGCCCAGCTTCCCGCGAGCTCACGAAACCAGACGCCAGGCGGCCAACGCCAGAAGATCAAACAACAAAGACAACAAAGAAAACTAATGTCGATCAAAACATTCAGCCGCTGCCGTTTCCAAGAGACGACAAAAGAACAGTTACGACACCCATAAATGATGACGAACTTCAGTTACTTCAAACAATCAACGAAGAGGACACTCCACTCAAAGAAATCAAGCCGACAACACTATAACACTTGCTTTTCTGCCCCTCCTACATTTTTAAGTGTTGCATTTTGTTTCTACATCAACACACCTAAAAACACTATACTCGCAACACATACAGGATGGAAATAAAGGGGCACTTGGTGCGCTCGTAGGTGGTGCACAAAGATAACGCTTCCCAGTATAAACATAGGTGGGAAATCTTGATGTTTTTTTCCCCACCAGTCCAGAAACGGTTGTAAGGTAACCACTATTCGTATTCGGCCTGACCGCAACTATTCGGCCGAATACCAAATAGTTATTGGGTCCACTATTCGGCCCCGAAGCGAATACGAAGCGAATATTCGTTACAGCCCTAATATTATATATATATATATATATATATTATATATATATATATATATATATATATATATATATATATATATATATATATATATATATATATATATATATATATATTCAGTGATAATCTCTTTATCTTTCACAGATGGTGATAACTCCAGCTCACAGTCTCAAGTGGAACACTGTTCAGAGTCAAAGTCCACAGTGGATGAATTCCCAGTGGCAAGCTGCAAAGTGTGTCTTGTCAAGCAGTCACAGATCATGTTCCTACCCTGCAAACATCTCTGTTGCTGTGATACTTGTGCTGCTCAGCTGCTACAGTTAGGTCAGAATTGTCCGATTTGCCGGGAGCCGAACATGAGCTTTGAGAAAGTATACGTTATTTAAAGTAATGTTTGCTATAATGTACTGGTAACAACTTTGACAACAAACTAGGACTTTCATATTCATATATTCAGTTTAGAGAAGTTAATATGAAGAGGATCCTTCTTCTTCTTTGCATTCACCAGCTGTAACTCTGGTCGAAAGTTTTGGTTGTTCGCCCACTTCTGGACTGCAGTCCTGTTCCAGAACCTGAGTGTTGTGTGTGCATTTGTTTGACAGATCTGACACATTTGTGTGCAGACTTTTGGCTCCTTGCCTCTCAGGCAGATGCATTCAGACTTTAAAGGAAGCTCCCAATTAGTTGACTCTTACGACAGGCTTTTGGGTAGGCAGTGGGTCTATTCTTGTTTTTCCTGTTAAAGGGCCCCGGAACCCACGCAGGGGATGAAGAGGATTAAATTAATTGCCCCAGTTTTTATCCCATAGTGCTCAGTCTCTCTCTCCGTAGAACGGCAAGCCACCTGCTGAGAGTGTCGCACAAAGCATCAGCTAAAAACTCGAGCGATATTGCCTAAGATGTCCACAGAAATAGATTCATGAACAGACCTCTGTGAAGCGATGTGAGGCAAATGACTTAATCACTTTGGCTTGGAGACTCCTAAATTTTGATTAATTATTAGGGACAATAATTTAACAACATAGACAATTTTTAAAAATTTAAGATCGCATGAACGTGATTAATTATTTGTAATAAGTTGGTTTGAATTTACTACAGAGATTTTAAATGATACCAGCCAAATAGCCGGAAGAGATGACTACTGATGTACAGAGTATTTTAGTGAGTCATTAATAATGAAAGTGTAATTTTAATTTAATATTAAAAGATGTATATAGATGTCTATCTTAACTGTCTTCGTCTTGGCAGCTTCGATGTAGGATCCTGAAATGCTGATTATGACGTGGTATGTTTTTTTAACTAAAATAACTTTTATGGAAAGTTGCATTTGCATTTTTTAAGGAAACAGCTATAGTGTAAATTTTGACAAACCTAGAAGATGTACGTTTTTGTAATTTAAATATTAGAGAATATACAGCTTAATCTGCAAAAAGGAATCCTCCTTATATATATATCTGGACAGTCACTATATATATTGTTCTGAAATATGGGCAGAGAATAAATATGATGCAGTAGAAGTAACTTTAGCAATCTAAAAATTCTAAATAACCTATTTAACCTCTTAAGAAGTTTTGTAAAACCCCCCCCCCCCCCCCCCCCCCCCCCCCCCCCCCCCCCCCCCCCCCCCCCCCCCCCCCCCCCCCCCCCACCCATAAAGACCCCCATAAAGACTACAGCAAGTACAGTGTCCCACTGTCCAAGTACTAGCCCAATTCATTCCACTGTCAAGGTACTAGCCCATGATGCCCCACTGTCAAATTATCAGCCAAATGTGTCCTACTGTCTGATTACTAGCTCAGTGTGTCCCACTGTCTGATTCCTAGCCCAGTGTGTCCCACTGTCTAATTACTAGCCCAGTGTGTCCCACTGTCTAATTACTAGCCAAGTGTGTCCCACTGTCTGATTACTAGCCCAGTGTGTCCCACTGTCTGATTTCTAGCCCAGTGTGTCCCACTGTCTAATTATTAGCCCAGTGTGTCCCACTGTCTAATTGCTAGCCTAATGTGTCCCACTGTCTGATTACTAGCCCAATGTGTCCCACTGTCTAATTACTAGCCCAGTGTGTCCCACTGTCTAATTACTAGCCCAGTGTGTCCCACTGTCTAATTACTAGCCCAGTGTTTCCCACTGTCTAATTACTAGCCCAGTGTGTCCCACTGTCTAATTATTAGCCCAGTGTGTCCCACTGTCTAATTACTAGCCCAGTGTGTCTCACTGTCTAATTACTAGCCTAGTGTGTCCCACTGTCCAGGTACTAGCCTAGAGTGTCCTACTGTCCAGGTTCTAGCCTAGTGTGTCCCACTGTGCAAGTACTAGCCTAGTGTGTCCCACTGTCCATTTACTAGCCTGGTGTGTCCCACTGTCCATTCACTAGCCTAGTGTGTCTCACTGTCTAATTACTAGCCTAGTGCGTCCCACTGTCCAGGTACTAGCCTAGTGTGTCCTAATGTCCAGGTTCTAGCATAGTGTGTCCCACTGTGCAAGTACTAGCCTAGTGTGTCCCACTGTCCATTTACTAGCCTAGTGTATCCCACTGTCCAGGTACTAGCCTAATGTGTCCCACTGTTCAGGTTCTAGCCTAATGTGTCCCACTGGTTAGGTACTAGTCTAATGTGTCCCACTGTTCAGGTACTAGTCTAATGTGTCCCACTGCTCAGGTACTAGTCTAATGTGTCCCACTGTTCAGGTACTAGCCTAGTGTGTCCCATTGTTCAGGTACTAGCCTAGTGGGTCCCACTGTCCAGGTACTAGCCTAGTGGGTCCCACTGTCCAGGTACTAGCCTAGTGTGTCCCACTGTTCAGACACTAGCCTAGTGTGTCCCACTGTCCAAGTACTAGCCTAGTGTGTCCCACTGTCCAGGTACTAGCCTAGTGTCCCACTGTCCAGGTACTAGCCAAGTGTGTCCCACTGTCGAGGTACTAGCCTAGTGTGTCCCACTGTCGAGGTACTAGCCTAGTGTGTCCCACTTTCCAGGTACTATCCTAGTGTGTCCCACTGTCCAGGTACTAGCCTAATGTGTCCCACTGTCCAGGTACTAGCCTAGTGTGTACCACTGTCCAGGTACTAGCCTAGTGTGTCCCACTGTCCTGGGCGGGTGGTTCCATATAAACCATACACAGATTTATCAGTCCAGATATGCATGATATTGAAGTGTGTGGCACAAGACAAACAACTATTGAACAGGATTATCAGGAAGTTTCATGGTCACCTATAAGAATGAAATAGCAGTTTATACATGCTCCATGCCTCTTAATATTCAACTACGAATGAACCTCCTGGAGCAAACCAATTCTGTGTCAAGAGTTTTCTGGCTTTGCACTTTAGTCTTTAGTGTTTTTGTTTTGTCCATTACCCTTGACCATCATTTCTTTCCCCTGTTTGATGGACACAAACAAATGTCTATGCATTTTTTAATAACCTTCTGAGCTATCTGCACTCAATGTTTAGTTTGGTAAAAGAAGTGTTAATTCAAGTGCATATTGTGACAGTAGACATATGACAGGAGTCAAGACTGCTAGCATGAACACAGAGGAATGGATGCTTGAACAGTCAGTATAATAATGACATCGTATTAAGAACACTAAACTTTGGAGAAGGAAGTAAGATGCAGTTCCAGCTGCACAGCAGCACGGCCGCCCCATAGTTGCCCTGTTCTTGTGCCAGAGAAAACCACACAGAATGCACATCACTGTCCCTTTTCGAAAAATTTAAACAAGACTACAGTCTCATCCAAGCCAACAGCATAGACAGGCATACAGCAGAAGTCAGAAGCGCCAACACATTCTGCCATAAGAATCACAGTTCGTCATCGAAAGAAGCAATAGTTAAACAAATCAGCAGTAGCACATGCAATATTGCATAAAATGTTTAATATAATAGTCAACAGATCACCCGCCATTATAACAACAGCAGGTCACAACACAAACCACTTTGGGCACAGTCCACACACAAAAAACAAGAACACTGGAGAAGTTTAAACAAACCAAAAACATATATTGTTACAGTAGGTATCTCCTAGAAGAGTTTTTAAATGTTTCTGTTGGTAATGTCTGTTGTACTTCAACATGAAAGAATAATTTAACCTAGATGTCATCCCACAAATAATCAAAGGCAGCACTCATATTTCACACGTATACACACCTCATTTTATTCAGTCTTCTAATCCACATAGAAGTACAGCTAGGAATGTATATAATTATTTTATATGTTGTAATTTCAATATCCATGGTATGAATGGTACTATTTGTGTGTGTCCGTATTTCCATTCAACCAAGTCAGTTTAACATGTTCTCATTCTAGGATTTAGTATTTTATCATTTTTCTATTTTCTTTTATTCCCCACTTTTTAAAATGTTACTTAGAAGAAATTAAGCTTGGTTACCTTGAAATTAATTAGCTAGGGTTTTTCACTTTACAATTTCTGGACTACACAGAGATTTGAAGCTAAATAAAGAAGCCCAAAAGTTGTAGGATTTAGTTTGTACCCATCTCTACACCTTTTTGTCTCCTTGTGCGATAACAGCATCCTTACTGCACATAACTGCAGATTACACTGGGCTGATGGAGCCATTATAGGTGCCATAATTATAACCTCTTCAGAGTTTAAAAGGGGTATTCAGGATCTGCCTGGTGGGTCTGCCATTCACATTGAGGCATTTTGAACTCATGATGGTAAACCTTCAGGTAGCAACCCGGAGGAGACAGACTTTGATAGATTCTTGTGTCATAAGTTTCCTGTGCCCTGCCGAAACAAAAAGATGAGTTGCCTTCATGAATCAGTATGAGGTTGTTGTGTCTGCTCCACAGTTTCTCTTCCATTTTCGTCTCCATGGATTAGGTTTGAGCATGAAATCACTACCCAAAAAAAAAAAAATGTATTACTCATTTGCAGTGTGTTTTTTAGAGTCTGAGGGCTGCTATGGCAAGAGATCACTGATCAGTTGGATGGTTGGATAGATGGGGCAGTAGAAAACATAGAATATCTCCACACTAAGAGGTCGATTTGCTATAAGACGTCGGCAGAGGGTCTGGATAACACTGATGCTTTGGAGGAAAGACATACTTTTAATCAAGTTATAATTGGTATCGTCAGGTTAAAACTCATCATTGGCTGTCGCGGAAGGTGGCAAAGCATATCTTGAATGCAGTGATTGATTCTTAAAGTCAAGTTATTCCTGTTGTTCAGAAATGTAGAACAAAGTCAAGTATCTGTTTTACAACTTGACAAATTTAATAGGCCCTAGGATCTGCTACAGTCTTTGATGGTTTGATTTATTTGTGAAGGATCACCTTCTTTGATGATAGATAGCTCTGTGAGTGCTCAGTCTTCTTCAGAGCATACTGAAAGAATATCAACACGATGTATGTCTTTTAAGGTAGGCTTTC